TCAACAAAAGTTGAGTGCATGTTATGAATGAAGCAATGCTTGTGTGGTCTATGAGTTGCCATCTGTTGTGTAATTTTAGTTAAAAAATAAAAGTTTTAAAGTTTTAAACTAATTAATTCGTACTTTTTTATTTTTTAAAATAAACTATATTTCATTAGTGATGTTAACCAAACTAAAAGTTAAATGACCCTGCTCTCAGTGTATATTAAATACATTTATTGATATAACATATACATTAATATATATAATTGTATTTAATTATTATAATATACAGTATTATTATAAGTCTCGTCAAAATACTGGTAAGTCGTTGCGTTAAATTGAATATAGGTTAGAAATGAGCTAGATTCAAATAAAATTTTTTGAAAACTATTTATTTTTGTCACGGTATTCACGATATGCCAATTTTTAGTCAAGACTCAAAGGAACTTTAATTGTTCATTTAACTCATTTAGTCATCTATAGGTCAAACAAATTTCTAATTAACTCATAAATGAAAATAAAGTTAAATTTAAATTATTGGCAAATTAAATGAATATACAGTAACAAGGTGAAAAAATTTCAAAATTAACTTATTTTTACAATTAAAATATATAACATATATTGCATTTATAAACTTTAGTTTCAATTGTATTGCAATACTCTACTGTGTATTACTGTATATTTGATTAAGATATAACTAATTTAACTAAAATAATTAGATGATAAATATAAATATATTAATTTTATTTTTTAAATCATTTTTCACTGATACTACAAATTAATATTGAAAACTTTAACTCTAAATATGAATTAGTATTGAGAATAAGAATTTGGTTCATTTATAAAAATTTATTTATTGTTTAAATTCATAAATAAAACAACAATTTTAAGGCTTTTCATACTTTAAACTAAAACTTTAAAGTTTGACCAAAACTTTTCCAGTATTGGAACCGCTGTGAAGATACTAAAAGACAATTCAATAGAAAAAATCAATTAATTGAATGTTTGATAGAAAACCTCATGAAATAAATGCAAACCTTAAGGCCATTGGAAACGGCTTCGAGACCTTCGCCCACATTAACCCCGAAATCGACTTTAATTTTGAGTTTATTTTTCACATAATATTCAGACAATTGTTTCGAGTATTCTTCGTATTTATGTTTATAATCAAAGGTCAGGAATCCTATGACAGTGCGGGCGCCGTAATGGAGCTACCGGTGCCCGACATAGTGTTAGACCACATAAATAATTAAAAAGTTGATAATTGCATAATACCTTGACAATAAAGTCATCGATTTTGATGGGCGCGTATCCGACACTAGTATAGCCAGAAGTGGCGCCGATATTGATTAGACGTCCCCTTCGGGCCAAGTGTTCAAACAACT